TTTTTTTATATGACGTTCTTTTGATGTACCACTGGAAAAAAAAAAATCACCTGCGATGCATAGCTACTGTTGATCGATATCAAATGCACCAACAAATCCCTTGTTTCTTTATTCAGCGTTTCGAATTTAGGAGTTTCCTTATAATGGACTTCTGAAAAAAAAAAGTACACCAAAAAACTGGGCAATAGTTCTAAAACGAAGCCATGTTCTAAAAAGAGCCGAATATTTCGACGACATAACAGCACAGCGCGGGAAAGACAAAAAGTCTTCATACGATCCAAAACCTTCAGTGTGCGAAAAAACAAGCAAAAAAATTCATTACTGTGCGCGAAATTCACCTAGAAATGCCTAGCAGTTAATCTTGTGCAACACTTACTCAATAAAGAGCAAACCGCATTAAAATGGAAAAAACTGGTGCAAAGAGACTGAATTTGACACTACGACACAACAAGAAAAAAAAATATGTATAAAAAGTGGAAAATAAGAGAGGCGGGGCATCCGACTTTTGTGAAGCGCTGCGGATGAGGGTAAGAGTGAGGTGTTACCGTGTAAGGGGCGACAGATGGCCTCCTCGAATGTAAATAGAAATATTCAAAACATCAAAAATACGTTTTTGAATACTGGTGATTAATGGAGCTGTTGACACTATGAGCTGCTCGGACACTCGCATGGCCCTCAGATGTTCCCAGAAACAGCGCCGGTCTTTTGTGGCGACGCCAGACTTCCTTGTTTGTGATATTGCGGTCTTGTCCGGACCTTGTTTATTACCCCCGCGGGTCAGCATGTGTAATCGGGGAGGTTTGGCTTTAGTTTTGTTATATAAGCAAGCCTTAACTCGGAATAAACACAGTTCAACACCAGTTCCAGCCCACGACAACGCCGAACTGGCTGCGCGTCACGATCCCCCCTCCTCCCTACACAGATATCCTCACATACTTCACACCACACACAGCACGAACTCTCTGGGCCCGTATTACAGACACGTCTGGCCATTTAGCGCTACGTCAGTACTGGATGCCAGGCACTCGACTGCTTACCATTAATGTAGCTCTGCACAACAGTCATTCTATTGGTCGTTAAGGTGCCGGTTTTATCTGAACAAATGCTTGTTGCATTGCCCATCGTTTCACAAGCATCCAAATGACGCACAAGGTTATTATCCAGCATCATCTGAAACAGCCTGCATACTTATTAACAATAACACACGACAAAGACAATGAAACAGAATAACCGGACGGGCGCAGCAATGCATATCTCACCCGGATACTGCCACACGTTGGGTCCAACAATATGAAGCTCTGCACTAGCCTACCTGTT